ACCAAATACCAGTACATCCAACTATATAAAACAAATATTAACAGACAAAAATCTCCCAAACATGTATTAATACAATTGTAATGGAGGACCTCAACACCTCACTGTTACAAATAGATCAACTAGACAAAAGAAAAAAATCAATAATGAAATATGAGAAGTGAACCAAACTTCGGAACAAATGGACTTTGTAGATTCCTACATTCTTCCACCCCACCACATCCGAATACACATTGTTCTCAGCTGCACACAGGACATTCTCCAAAATATACCACATACTAGCCCAAAGAACATGCTTAAGTAAATTCAAAGGAATTGAAATTCTCCCATGCATACTATCAGAAATTGGCAATGAATGGCAAAATAAACCACAAGAACTTCATAAAAGCATGGAAATTAACACCCTTCTGAATAACCACTGGGTCACAGATGAAATTAAAGGAGAAATTAGATAGTTTCTGCAATTAAACAATAATGCCAGTACAGCATACCAGAACTGATGGGACAAAGTGAAAACAGTCCTATGAGGGCAATTTATAGCAGTAAATACCCACTAACAGGACAATAGAGTGAGCTCAAATAAACAACTTAATGTTGAACCTCAGCCTTTTAGAAAAAGAAGAGCAAGTCAAGCTCAAAGTTTGAATGATGGAGGAAATGATTAAGATCAGAGAAGAAACTAAGATTAAGAAAACAATACAAAGAATCAATGAATCAAATAATTGGTTCTTTGAAAGATTAAATAAAATTGACAACCATCACCAGCCTTATTTTATTTTATTATTTTTTATATTTTTTGGGGAAGGGTCTACAGGATGTTCAGGGTCTTACTACTAGATCAGACTCGTAGTGATCTGCCTGTTTACAGCCTCCCAAGAGCTGGGATTACAGGCACGCACCACCACACCAAGTCTCTATTGCCGTCTCAGTGCACAGGCCCAGGGATCGAACCCCCAGCCCCTCCTAATCCACTGAGCTATTTGGCCAGCCCTCACCAACCTTATTTTAAAAAGGAAAGAAAAGACTGAAATCTATGAAGAGGTAAAGAGGGATTGAAGAAAGAGTAGGAGAACAGGGGAAAAGAAAGAATCAAGTTCTATCCTGTACAGGTACAAATTCCCTGTGGTGAATATGATCGTTATATAAACCTAAAATGTACCAATAAACTTAATTAATTTAAATAAATAAATATGTATGTCTCAGCTGAACTTCCCATGATGCTAGCAGGCTGAGCAATTGGCTTTTTGACAAGTATCCAAATACTCTGCTGTAAGAGTTTAAAGAAGAGATGTCACAAGTTTAATTAACACAGAATCACAATTCAATTTTCTTTTCAGTCCTGGATACCTTAGGGTGAAGGTATCTGTTAGGTGTTGCTGTTTTTATTTCCAGATTTGGCACTAGATTATGTTTCTCTGGAACCAAGATCTGACTATGGCTAAAATAATCCACCTAGAATTGAATGACCCTCACTGTATTTCCCTTATGTTTACCTTCTGTTGTGGGGAGTGGAATTTACTATCAACTTACAGTAGTGATACAAAGTTTTCTTTAAAATAGAGTCACTTGATTTAGAAAAGTGAAAAGAGAAGGAAATAGGAAGAAATCCATATTTTAGGATGAGAACTTTATAAAATATTGCTACATCTTTCTAAACTCACTACACATGGGCACATACATAAATGTTAACAATTGATTTGGATTATAAAATGATCTACAGATAAAAAATATTTAACATATTGATAATGTTTTATATGCAAATATGTCATACATGTAAATTCAATATGCAAATTGTTCTTACATATGGTTCATATGCTGAATCTAAAATTTAATCTGGCAATGGATAATACACAAAAGTGGATGGTTTGGACAAAGGACATACACATGTATGTATCTCCTAAGAAGATACACAAATGGTCAATAAACATAAAAATATGCTTGACATTTTTAGGGAAATTCAAATCAAAACCACAATGAATTAACAATGTGTGTTAGAATGGCTATTATCAAATAAGCAAAATAACACTTACTAATGAGGGTGTGGACAAATTGGACCCTCAGGCACTCCTAGGGAATATAATACTTGCAGCTGCCATGAGAAATAGTGTGACAGTTTCTTAACAAATTAAACACAGAACTACCTCACAATCCAGCAATTCTACCTCTAGGCATAGACCAAAAGAACTAAAGGCAGGAGTTGGAGCAGAGTCTGCATAGGACAGGGTGTTGATAGGGACTCCCAGTGTGCAGTATGCAGACTTTCAGCTCATCACATTGATTTGGAGTTCTGCATCCCACCCTCAGCTCTAGCTGGTGTCCCCATTTAGTTTCACTGTAGTTCACGCTCTCTAGAAAATATGTCTCCCATTGTCTATGAAGTTTGGAAAGAATCCTCACTTGCTGGTTGTGAGGCAGAAAGCTAAATAGGTTAAGTTACTTGCTCAAGGCCAAATAGCAAAGGAGCTGATAGACTGAATGGAGGAGATCTGACTCCAAAGTTTGGGTATACTGCAGAAGCAGGAAAATAACAGGGCTTTGATGAGCCACCGGGTACGAACCTGGGACTCACCAGCACACAGGTGTGTCTAAGTCACAGGCTAAGCAGGAAATAGGAGTGCAGAAGAACACAGAAAGCAGACAACTGCACTTCTGGGTGATGGGGAGGTACGGAGCAAAGGGTTAATCAAAGGAGATGCACTCCCTGAGTTGCACGCAGGATGTGCTGTTAAGCTGGATAAAACCAACACAAACAACTAAGCTTCACCCTATCCAGAGAGGCCAGTCCCCTTTTTAAAAAACTATGAACAATGAACAAAATGCCTTTGACACTTCATGGGAGTGAAACACTTCCTTATGCAGGGCTGCTGTCTGTGGAACAGCCAGCTGCTTTTCTACAATAAACTTTCATTTGACATTAGCTGTGGAACTGACCCATGTGTGATTTCTAAGACTTCACGTTAGTGTCAGCTGTGATAGATGCAGAAGGGTGGTATGAGAGGGACCAGACTCAGCAACACACTACTCTTGGGTGCATCTATCTCCCCATTCCTAACTAAGACTTTGGGTTTTGAGGTGGGAAGCGACCTACTTCTGAGCTTTTACCTTTGTCCTGTCTGTTAAATCAATCGCAATCATCACCATACTCACTTTCTTATCCTTTCAGATTTGTGTTTAAATCTGGTATTTTAGTGGGGTTTCAGTGGGGCAGTAGTAAAGGCTATGTATATGACTGGACTATGCAAAGCCACTCTTCTGCCCACTCCAGTCTGGCTTCCAAGCCCATCATACCACGAACACTGCTCTGGGCAAGATTACCAAAGTGGAATGTGTCATGTGCTGGGCTTGGTTGCTTAGAAATTTGCTGATTCCTTCAATCATGCATGTCAGTTGGTGGCACAAATTCTGAGATCTCCAGAATTCCAAGAAACAGTCATCATTTCTGTCTTCTTCCTGCTCAGTAACACATAACACAATTGCCTTTCCTTTTGGATTTTGGGAAACATCCTCTCCTGGTTCTCCACCACACTACTCGGGTTAGATTTCAGATGTACTCAGGAAACCCGTGTACTGGAGGCTTGGAGACTTGGTAGGCAAGGAGGTGGTAGTGCAACGTAGAAAGCTTTAAGAGCTGGGATTTAATGGGAGGTGCTGACGACACTGAGGGTCTGCCCCTGAAGGGGACTATGACTTTAGCCTCCATTTCTTTCTTGGCCCAATCCCTCCCCAGCCAGGAAGTAAACACCTCTACTTTCCCATAGGCTTTCTCCTGGGAGACCCAAAGACAGCACAACCACCCAGTAGTTTGGGATCTGCAAAACTGAGAGCCAATATAAACCTTTTCTCTGTAAAAGTTAATCACTGACAATACTTTTATAGTACTGGAAAACTGACTAATAAAACTCACTGACAAATCTTTTGTTGCTTCTGCCTTCCTGTGGCTCTACACAAACATGCAAACTTGACTTCCAGATCTCAGAGGACCTGGGGGGGGGCACGATTTACCCTCTTTGCTTCTGTGAGTGTTTTCTCCCCTTAGGGATTTCCACTAGCCCCTGACAGACTCACTTGTGTGGGCTGGTGACTCCCAACGGAACACCCTCCAGCCCTGACCTCTACCCCTATTGGTCCTGCACCTTCAAATCTCTGTTTTCCCCAAAACCAATAGTCCTTAACGCCCCCTTGACATCTCTCTCCCCTTCACTGTCCCCGCCCTCAACAAGCCAAGGTCTTCCAAAGCTCAGGGCCTGGTACTGGCAGCAGCGTTCCTTCCACTCCTTTCGCTTCTTCCATCGAGAACTCTCCTCCTGCACTGCGCACTGCTTCCTCAAGCCTCAGTATCAGGTCCCTCGGTCTTCAAAGCTCCTTGTCCCTGCCCCTCTTCTCCACAGCACTCTCTGTCATCCGAAATTCTAAAGTGCATGGCCTTGTTTACTTGCTTATTTTTTTCCCCTCACATTTGCTTTTTAATCTGTATCAGGGCAAAGACTGAGTTTTGCCTGGGCCTGTATTAACAGCACTTAACATAGTCCCTGACACGAAACTGGTTCTCATAATTAGTTATTAAATGAAATAAAATAATGTCTGATTTAAAAGAAGTTGTAGGAAGTAAGCTGGTGGTCAGGTGCACATTTTTAGGGCTAAGAAAGCAAACAAAGCAAGAGAGATGGGGCTCAAATGTGCTCATCCCAGCTGCTTCTCAGTTCCGCCTCCAACCACCGCAGAAGGGTCCTATTCCCGGAATATCTACAGGCCCACCCATCCTGTCCACCTCGGCCAACTCCTCTCCCCAGTGTTCATCTCCCCAGGTCCAGATTTCACCCTCTCTGCCCCGTGCTTCTCTGCCTGAAATCCAGACACACTCTTCAGGGCAGCACTGGGGCTCACCGTGGGCAGGTGGAGTCCGAGGGCAAAAACCAGCTTTGCCAAAATAGGGGCGGGGCCGGGGCGGGCCCGGGCGGGCGCGTTCCGAAGGCGGAGCGCCTCCTGCTGTGCTGTATTTCTGCAGGCTGCAGACCGCCAGCCTGGGCTGGTACCATGGCCAAGTTCAGGGTGAGGGTGTCCACTGGGGAGGCCTGCGGGGCTGGCACTTGGGACAAAGTGTCCGTCAGCATCGTGGGGACCCAGGGAGAAAGCCCCCCACTGCCCCTGGATCACCTAGGGAAGGAGTTCACTGCGGGCGCTGTGAGTGCCGTGGGAGTTGGGTGGGAGTGAGGGTCAGAGGGGGGCAGGGGTGGGAGAGGAGGATGGAAGCTCCTCCGCACAGTAAACCTCTTCAAATCCCAGGAGGAGGACTTCGAGGTGACGCTCCCAGAGGACGTGGGCCGGGTGCTGCTGCTGCGCGTGCACAAGGCGCCCCCGCCACTGCCCAGGCCGCTCGGGCCCCTGGCCCCAGACGCCTGGTTCTGTCGCTGGTTTCGGCTGGAGCCGCCCTTGGGCTCCCCGCTTCTCTTCCCCTGTTACCAGTGGCTGGAAGGGGCAGGGACGCTAGTGCTGCGGGAAGGGGCAGGTGAGGGGAGAGCAGTGGGTGGCAGGGACTGCAGGATGGGCACGGGAGGGGAAGGGTGCTAGTAGTGGGGGGAGGACAAGTGTAGAAATGACCTGCTGTGGTCACCGGGTAGAGGCGGAGGAGGATGCAAGTGTCGGTGGTTAGGGGTGAAGGGAAGATGGACTAGGGTCAGAGGACAAGGAGGTTTCTTCTGCTCTCCATCCAATTCCTCCTCCCACAGCTAAGGTCTCCTGGGCAGATGACCTCCCCGTACTGGAGCGCCAGCGCCAGGAGGAGCTGCAGGCCAAGCAAAAGATGTACTGGTGAGAAGGGGTGATAAAGGAGATAGTAAAGGAAGACAGGCAGCCTGGGGCCCCGGAACAACACAGACTAAAAGCCCTGTCTGGTCCTTTCCTACAAAGGGCGCTCCTGGGAGGAGCACCGTCTCAGCTCTAGAGCGCTGGAAGCACTGGCTGGGAATGCTTCCTCTCCAGCCTACTGTCTCAGACCTTGCGGGGAAGGCAGTAATCTGTCTTTACAAGCCTTTCATGTGACTCAGGTGCCCACTGAAGTCTGAATCACTGCTGAGTGCCATACCCTTCCTTACTGTGGGGATTCTTCACACACCAGCTTGGTGTATCTTCCTAAAATGTGGACAGAATCAGAAATACACCACTTAGTCCACAGGAAGCCCATCTTCCAGGCAGGTGGTGAGAGGGGGCTCTTTTTCTGCTCTGGGCTCAGCATTTGGGGTCACAGAGGGAAGCTGGTCTGAGAGGTTATGCAGGCAAAGGATGGAACTGCAAGTGACAGTGGGCTGTGGGTGAGGATTCCTGAGGCAGAAACTGAGGAACTGTGCTCAGGTGAGGATTTTCAAAAGACTTTGCTCTTGATGTTGGCTGCTGCCTGAAGCTTGGGCTGCAGGTTCTTGCAACACATACCTGGGGGACAAGGCAGCCACAGGCTTATTTGGTTCATGGCAATTCTATGCATGCCATGAATTACACCCCTGAGAAAACCATTACATTAAATCTCACAGCAACAGCCCCAGGGAGGGGCAGGTACTGTGGTCTCCGTTGTCTTTAGAGACCCAAGGGTGGTATAAACTCTGTTGAAAGGGACTGAGATCTTAGGCAAATCATTCATTTCTATAACACTTAATTTCCTTTTGCAAAGGAAACCGAGAATACCAGTCTCCTTGGGGTTGTTGGGTGGAACAAATGAGAAAATAGTTAAGAATGCAGGTAATCAACTCTCAATCCCTGCACAGGGGTGTTCATTTGCTACAGTTCCTGTGTCTAGTTCACTTTGCTCTCATGTCTATGCCTTACAAGACTGAAAACTTTTAACATTATTATGTGATTTTTAGCGATAGAATTCAATTGTGCAGTGCTGGAGTATAAACTACAAGTAAAATACAGAGGTTACCAATTACAGTATTTCAGCCTACCTAAACACATATGCCTATGAATAGAGGTGCCTATTGCTGTCAAGAAAACATGTAAAAAAAAGAAAAAGAAAACATGTATGTTTCTGTATTTCATTATTAAACTTGGGCTTGTGTTATTTCATAAAACATTAAGTTAAAATATTAAAAAAATAAAGGAGGTTTGTTACTTTTATGTCAACTATCTTACACATTTTATATGCAGCCCAAGAAAATTCTTCTTCACTGAATGTGGCCCAGGCAAGCCATAGGGTTGGGCATCCGCAGTCTTGATCTTTACTACTTAAAAATGAGTCCTCAGGGCTGGGGCAATAGTGTGGCGGTCTAAGCACCCATCTGGCAAGTGCAAGGACCCAGGCTAGCTCCCTGGTACTGCATGCCATGCCAGCCCAGGAACCCCAGGCACACTGTGCTGGCCACCAAATCCAGGCATGGTGGCACACACCTGTAATCCCAGCAGTGGGGAGCCTGAAAACAGAAGGATCACTATGAGTCTGAGCTGCATAGTGAGACTATACCAAATACATTAAAAAAAAAAAAAAAAAACAGAGAGAAAAAGGTCTCTCTAGTTCAGCTTCCACCTTAAATTCCCTGAGGACTCCAGGTAGCCCAGCTCTAGGCAAATGCTCAAATGCTCAACCCTCAAGGGGAAGTCTCACTGTGAGAAATTAAGGGCTCCCCTGGAGTCTTGCCAGCAGAGGGGGAAATACAGATCCTAAGGAGGTCAAGCTCTTTGCTCAGAGAAGAGGGCTTGCCCTGACAAAGGCCCCTGAGGGCACTCCTGAGCCTTAGTCCTGGGGCTCCCTGAGTCCTCTTGGTGATTACCTGCCTTTTCCACTCTCCAGGTGGAAGACCTACCTCCCAGGCTGGCCTCATTGCCTGGATGAGGAGACTGTGAAAGATCTGGACCTCAACGTCAAGTACCCTGTAGTCAAGAAAACCAAATTTTCCTTGAAATTAGGCTCTGGGTGAGAATGTGTACCTTGTCTTGTCCCTGGGCCTCAGATGTTCTACCACCCTTGCTTCTGCCCTCCTTTTTTTTTTTAGAATTTTTTTTTAAATTAATTTATTTATTTATTTTGTGTGTGTGGCCTGCTCAGTCCACCAGGGGGCGGGCTGGCTGGCATGTGGTGCTGGGGGATTGAACCGCGGTCCCGTACTTTGATTGGCTTAGTTTATTAGGTGCTTTAGACCACTGAGCCATCTCACCAGCCCTGCCCTCCTTTGTTTAGCTCCCCACTATCAACGATATGGGTCACTCAGTCCTGTCTCCTCCCAATTTCCACAAAGCAGTGGTGACCTTAGGGGAGGTGGCTACCTCAGACCCTGGAATCTGGTTTAGTATCTGGTTTAGAACCTCAGGAAAGACTAGAGTGATTGACAGGAGAGGGATCTCCCATACCCTCTTGCCTCCATCCAACTCTTTGCATCCCCTGGCAGGGTTGCAGAGCTAAAACTCAAGGGGCTGCTGGACCGCACAGGGCTTTGGAGAAGTCTGAGGGAGATGAAAAGGATGCTCAACTTCCGAAGTTCTCCAGTAGGCGGTGAGGTGTTTGGGCCAGGACTCCTGACCTCTTTCCTTGGGCATCAGCTCCCAGGGCTAGCCAGAGTCTTGGGAAACCAAGCACTAATCTATTGTGTGACTCTGGGCAGGCTCCCATCCCCTCTTAGACTTTACATTCCCCACAGAGACAAAAGAAGATATGGACTGGGGTGATCTCTGACCGCCTAATCTAAAAGACATTTTTTGAGCTATTGTCCATCACGCACTGGATTGGGGCTGTGGACACTACTTGAATTTACAATGCCCACAGTTAAGCAGGCCAGAGATTATTAATTAGACTCAAAATTGTATCTTTGGTGTCACTTGCAAGACATGCTAATTGACTCCAGGAGTGTGTAAAAGGGGACCCACCCTAAGGCTTTACAGGGGGTCCTGGAAAGCCTTCTCCAAAGGTTGAGTAGGCAATAACTGTGCCAAGGTGGGTCATGGGTGGCAAGCATTTCAGGCTTAGAGAACAGCAGAGGGAAAGGCCCTGAAGATGGAAGGACCTTTGAGGGAGAGAAAGAACACTACCATGGCCAGAGCAGATTGAACAAGAGAAAGAAGGGCTGAGAGGAAGCAGGAGGTGCCCAGGTCCCAGTGGGGCAGGACCATGTGGGCCACAGCAGGAGTGGACCTTTCCTGAGTACAGGCTGGGCTATGTCCTGGTGGCCAGCTGGGGAATAATATGGGCAAATGTGCTCTGTGAAGTGGGTAAAGAACAAGAATGGAAACAGGACGGTGAGCCAGGAGTCTCTGGCCATGATCAGCAGACGATGGTGGCCTCAGTAAGGCAGTGGCCATTGGGACAGAGTCACAGATGAGCTAAGAAGCAGGGAAGGTGGAGAGTCGATTGGAGTTGATGGTGAGGGCTGCCAAGGTTGGACCCAAGTGGATGGAGATGCCACTCCCCAGGGGCCCAGGTCTGAGCTGGAGCAGGAAGAGCCCACAGTTGGTCTTTAATATGTTGCTGTTGAGTCTGGTGAGTCATTCAGGAGAATGTCAGCTAGCTGACAGGGCAGTAGGTTGGGGACTAATTTACTGTCTGGTGAGAGGACAATGACTGAAGCCGAGCACTGAGCAGAGGAAGGTGTTCCTATGGAAGATGGAGGGTGGCTGGAATGGACCCAGAAGGGAACTCCACTGTGAAAGTCGGAGGGATCTGTTGGAACCGAGGTAACTGGTCCCCATGTCCTGCTATCCCCCTGCAGAGTATGTATATAAACACTGGCAGGAGGACTCCTTCTTCGCCTCCCAGTTCCTGAATGGACTCAACCCTGTCCTGATCCGCCGCTGTCGCTTGCTCCCAAAGAACTTCCCAGTCACCGATGCCATGGTGGCCCCAATGCTGGGCCCTGGGAACAGCCTGCAAGCTGAGCTGGAGGTGGGGTTGTGGGGTCCAGGCTCTACAGCCTTATCTTGGTGCCTTTAGGGCCATACCCTACTGGAGAGGGAGGGTGCAATCACATTTGTTAGGGACATAATTTGTGCTGCATAGCACAAACACCATCTCCCAAACACAGTCCTCTCCCAGCCCTGAATCCTGTCCTGCTACCTGCCCTTCATCCTTTAGAAAGCCAGGTGGCAGCCTCAGCGCCCTACTGTCTCCTATAGAAGGGCTCCCTGTTCTTGGTGGATCATGGCATCCTCTCCAGCATCCAAACCAATGTCATCAATGGAAGGCCTCAGTTCTCAGCAGCCCCAATGACCCTGCTGTACCAGCACCCAAGAGGTGGACCCTTACTGCCTCTTGCCATCCAGGTCTGTCACTGGACACGGGGCAGGGCAGGGGTGGGTAGGGTCCCAATGAATGATTGGCAGACGCTCATGGTTGCCTCTTCCCTGGCCGGTCTCCCACCCCAGCTCAGCCAGACTCCGGGGCCAAACAGTCCTATCTTCCTGCCCAGTGATGAGAAGTGGGACTGGCTGCTGGCTAAGACCTGGGTGCGCAATGCTGAGTTCTCTGTGCACGAAGCCATCACACACCTGCTGCACGCGCACCTGCTGCCCGAGGTCTTTTCCCTGGCCACACTGCGCCAGCTGCCCCAGTGCCACCCACTCTTCAAGGTTAGTGGCTCAACAAGGTGGCTCAGCCTATGGTTGAGTCTCTGAGCTCCTGGCCCTTGTGGCCCTCACACTCCCTCTTCTGAGCAGCCTCTCCCAGGTGGCCCTCTCTGTCTAGGTGGCCTCTGTCATTGCACTGAGGACTGGGGTGCAGAACCTTCACTGCACTGTGACAGCATCTCCCTGCAACTGGGAGCCCCCTTCTTGGCAAGCCCTGAGCTGGAGGAAAAGGTAGATACTGTGCCTCAGAAAGGCTTCTTTTTTATAGCAAACCAGATGGAATTGGGTGCCACTGAAGAAGCCCAAGTCTTAGGACAGGCATCCTGGAGCTAGCAGATGCAAAAGTAGACACAAGGCTTTCAGCGACCAACAGGTTTTCTACGGCTCATTCCAGAGTTGGGAAAGTCCTGCATGGGAGGACCATGTGCTCTAGAGTGGACTCTGTAAGTCCCCTGGACTCCCAGGGCCTTCAGAGGACAGATTCATTTCTCCCTCAGACTTGCATCTCCTCTGAGGAGGACAGGACTTCACCTTCCCTGGCCGCCAGGCTCTCTGATGGCTGTTTAAATGGTCCCCTGGGTCAGGCCCTCCTTTGCGCTATTCATTCTGCGCTGATTCTGGCCATCTGCAGCTCCCAAGGTCTGCAGCTCAGAGATGGGCTCTGGTGCACATTCTACACATCCAGGCCGTGGTGGTCTGCCTGCCTGTGACTTAGGAAATCATAGTGTTCATCCAAATATCATCTTCATTTGATAAAATGATCTGGTACCCAACATGCCTGGTGGGTACAAAACAAGATGCTGGAGGCTTTCGGGTCCCATCTCTGGGTCTGGAGGGCTGACCCCTATTCCGAGCCATCAGCCATCCCCTCTGGCCCCTGTTATCTCTTTCTGGGTAACTCATAAGGAAGATGCCTCTCTCAGGAAGGTCTAGGGTGACCTCTAGCTCTGCTGTCTCCTGTCCGTTGTAGCTGCTGATTCCACACACGAGGTACACCCTGTACATTAACACGCTGGCCCGAGAGCTGCTCATCGCCCCCGGGAAGGTGGTAGACAGGGTAAGAGCTGGCTTAGGAAAGGTGTGGCACGGCCCACTCCTTCCACTGGACAACTCCAGAGTTCTGGGGTGAGAGTGACCTTTGGGTGTGCTACCTCTTGCTTCTGGAGAAAGGTGCTGGTGCCAGGAGCCGTATCTCCCAGTCCACAGGCCTTGGCATTGGAGGCTTCTCTGAGCTGATCCAGAGGAACATGGAGCAGCTGAACTACTCAGTCCTTTGTCTTCCTGAAGACATCCGAGACCGTGGAGTTGAAGATATCCCAGGCTACTACTACCGAGATGATGGCCTGCGGGTCTGGGAGGCAGTGGAGCAGTGAGGGGGGCTGTCCCTAGGGATCCAGGAGGCCTGGGAAGGCAGGAAGACTGGGCTGGAGAGGGATGGGGAGGGGTGGGTGTGAGGAGAGTGGGCAGGACACTTCCCAGAAAGGGAAAGACTGGCGGCAGGGACTGAACCCAAGTGTACTCTGCAGATTTGTCTCTGAAATAATCAGCATCTACTACCCAAGCGATGAGTCTGTCCAAGATGACCAAGAGCTTCAGGCTTGGGTGAGGGACATCTTCTCCAATGGTTTCCTAGGCCGAGAGAGCTCAGGTATGTGGACCTCTGCTCTTGAGCCCCACACTTAGGCCTCTGCAGATAGGTCCTCAGGACCTCAGCAGCCTCAGCCCGGGCCCTGCCCTCTTCACAGGTATGCCCTCCTCACTGGACACCCGGGAAGCTCTGATCCGGTACACCACCATGGTAATATTCACCTGCTCAGCTAAGCATACAGCTGTCAGTTCAGGGCAGGTAGGAAAGGTCAGCACTAGGGTGGCAGGTGGGAGAGAGTTGACTCTTCAGCCTCATCCTGCCCTCTTGGCCTTCAGTTTGATTCCTGTGTTTGGATGCCCAACTTGCCATCTACCATGCAGCTGCCACCACCCACTGCCAAAGGTCAGGCAAGGCCTGAGGGTTTTGTAGCCACCCTCCCTCCAGTCAATGCCACGTGTGACATCATCATTGCCCTCTGGTTGCTGAGCAAGGAGCCTGGAGACCGAGTGAGTATGGGGCTGGCAGTCAGATCAGGCCAGAAAGAGGCAGCTCAGGTGTTCTTTGTGCTCCTAGGCCCTCAGGCAATTTAGTCCTGTTACCCTTCTCAAGTGGCCCAAAGAGTAGGGGGAGAGGGATCATGCACCTTTAAAACTTAGAGAGCTGGGCATGGTGGCCCACACCTATAATTCCAATATTTGGGATGCTGAGTCAGGAGGATTTCCATGAATTCAAGGCTAATCTGGGCCAAAGTTCAAGACCAGCCTGGAAAACATAGTAGGACACAGTCTCACAAAGCCAAAAAATTAAAATAAAAGCAAAAATGAAGAAAACCTTGGCCAAGGATATAGCTCAGCAGCACAAGTACCGCCTAGCAAGTATAAGGTCCTGAGTTCAATTCCTGGTACAAAAATAAAAAAGAAAGGATAGCTCAGCAGATTAAAGCACCTGCAAACAGACACAGGGGTAGGGGGTTCAATCCCTGGGCCTGCCAGCTGGCCCTGGCCCCAGGGCGCACTGAGATAGTAATTGAGAGTGGGTGTGGTGGTACATGCACCTGTAATCCCAGCTCTTGGTAGGCTGTAAACAGGAGAATCACTGAGTCCAATCTAGTAGTGAGACCCTGAACACCCTGTAGACCCTTTCTTAAAACACAAAAATAAATAAATAAATAGAAAGAAAGAAAACTTTGGAACTAAACATTCTCAAGAGCTTCCTGCCCATTATCTTTACTTGGAAAAGATAGTTTATGGAAAGGGGCATGGATTGGGCTCAAGGGAGGCTTTTTCAGAGGCCCAGGGTGGGAGCTATGGGTCAGAACCAGCTAAGGCAAGCAGCCCACTCACCCAGCCTGTCGTTCTCCTCAGAGGCCCCTAGGCATATACCCAGATGAGTACTTCACAGAGGAGGCCCCAAGGAGGAGCATTGCCACCTTCCAGAGCCACCTGGCCCAGATCTCCAGGGACATCAGGAAGCGGAACCAGGACCTGAAGCTGCCTTACACCTACCTGGACCCTCCCCTCATTGAGAACAGCGTCTCCATCTAAATCCCCAGAGAACACATCTTGTATGACATTTGTCTTTTTTTTTTTAATTGACAGAATCTACAGGGTCTACAGGGTCTCATTACATAGATCAGACTCATAGTGAGTCTCCTGTTTTCAGTCTCCCAAGCACTGGGATTACAGGCGAACGCCACCATGCCCAGTCTCAGTCAAGGCCTCAGCACACCCCGGGGGGATTTTTTTAACCCTGGCCTCTGTGCTGACATTTATCTTTTTGACCACTTTGCTCTAGACTAATTGGCACCAGAAAAAAATGAATTTCCCACTGGTCCCTCTGTGCCTCTTCTGAGACAACCAAACCCCACATAATTTGTCCCAGCATCTACACACGTGCACTCAAGTGCACATGTGTGCACATATACCCACCAGAGAGACAAAGTCAAAACAGAGGCAGGCATGGTGGCACATGACTATAATCCCAGCTTTTGGGAGGCTGTAAAAGGATCACAAGTTTGCATCAGCCTTGCCAACGGAGACCCTGCTTCAGAATAAAGAGGCCTGGAAGGGTGCAGGTGGGATAGCTCAGTGGTGAAGTGCTTGCCTAGCCCAGTGCTGCTTGAAAAAAAGATTCTGAGAACAGACCCTCATGGGACAGTGTCACGAAGCCCTTAGAGACTTCTCAGTAACCTGATTTAAAGGGAAGTCATCATAGAGGCTGCTCAGCAACACACATGACAGTCTACACCTGCCCAAGAGGTTGGTCATGACCTATTTCCTTGCTTTCCAATGAATAAAGCACGAGGGAAAGGTCACTAGCAGGCGGCATGCCTCTGCTTTTTCAAAACTCCCCCTAAGTGAGTTGTAGACCAGGTCTCATTTCCAGAGAATTAGAAAATAGGAATATAATCACTAGTCATGGGGGCTGGGGAGATGGCTCAGTGGAATAAGCGCTTCCCTGGCAAGTGCAAGGGCCTGAGTTCAATCCCCAGTTCTGCCAAAAAAAATTAATAATAATAATCGCCAGTCAGAACTTGCCTTCTAGATTCTGTCTTCAGCAAAGGAGTGCTAAAATTTTGTACAAATTCTTTAATTCTACTTTTTTCTTTTTTGGACTCAGAGAGCATTCATTAAAGTAGCAAATGGACCCTTTTGATTTCACCCAATGATTTTTATTTTCATCATATGAAAGATATTAATGCCTTGAGTTTTTAGTTTCACTAAAACATATCTTATGAAATAGTGGGCACAATGCAGTGTATAAGCTGTACTTACCTGTGTACCACCAGCAGACTGAGCAGATCAGTGCTTTGAAATGCAGCACAACTGCAGGCAGCACTTCCAGTTCTGCTCATCGAGACTGGGCCAAAAGCGATTCAGATGGGGCTGGTGAGATGGCTCAGTGGTCTAAAGCACCTACTTAGAACAAGCTTAGCAAAACACAGGGACTGCGGTTCAATCTCCCAGCACCACATGCCAGCCAGCCCCACCCCCTGGTGGGCTGAGCAGGCCACACACACAAAAATAAATATAAATAAATAAATAGGAAAAAAAAGAATTAAAAAAAAATGACTTAGAGCTCTGGATCTCTTAAAATTATTTTATTTCAACCAATAAACAATTCCTACTCACATAAAGCAATAAAGGATTTCATGGATCCAAAACTGAGTGTTTTGAGGAATTAAAGTTAACCTCTATGATCTCAGGAACAACCAGAAATACTGGGTAACCAGGACACAAGAACAAATTCTCCCAGACACTGTGATGGGATTATAATGTCCCCACCAGTTTTGGTCCTTGATTTACCTTCATTGTCCAGGTGTAGTAGCATACACCTATAATCCCAGCACTCAGCACGTTGAGGCAGGAGGATTGCTGTGAATTTGAGGTCAGCCTGGGCTACATGATGACTTTAAGACCAGCTTAAGTTACAGAGTACCACCCTGTCTCAAAAAGAAAAATACCTTCCTCAGTATGCAGAGTCCATGAGAGAAGGTCCGTTTGTCTTACCTTGGAAGGGCAGAGACCAGCATTCTGCAGAAATGCGGGGCTCACTATGTACCTCACATACTTCTCCATAACATTCTCCAGCCAACGTTTCAGTTAGGTTGGGGCCATGTGACTAATACTGGTCAATGCACTGTGCAAGGAAGTGATTTTTTCCTATACCAGGCAGTTGTGAGCTGGAGGGCCTCCTCTGCCCTGCCACCATCCTGCTGGCTACCTTGCAGCCATGTCCCAGGTCACGTGAGCCCCATCCTTACCCCTACCACTGACTGTAATCTCAGGAGGATGGCTGCCCACCAAGGTGCACAGCAGCCCGCAGCCTCTTTTGTGCAGTGGTCCTCCTGATTTCTGCCTCCCTAGTGCTGGGATTACAGGCCTGTGCCACCACCCAGACTCTATCGCCCGTGTAGCGCGCCTGGGGGCAGGGCCGGCACGGCATGTGGAGCTAGGGATCAAACCCTGGCCCCTATGATTACCTAAGCAATAGCTTAGTTCACTGAGCCATACCACTGGCCCTTGGTGTCTATTTCAGTTGCAGCCACACTATCATATGGAGAAAGAGAAACTGGAGAATCCAGGGCTGTTCAGCAGTGGGAATCCAAGCAGCCAGTTCTCAATGCCCCAGCCCTGTGAACCTCTTCCCACCCCGCCGCACACACATCACATACTACCCTAGTCCTTGGGCTTTTGGCTGACTAGCCATGAAAAGAGATTATTTAAAGGGAGAAATAACCCATCTTCAGAGTGGTGGTCCTTGGGACTAGAGTGGGCAACACCTCATAGGCACATTGTAATGGGTCAACTCACATTTTAGATTATAAATGTAAGTCTTGTGCTTTCTGTTGTAAATGTATGCTCACCACTGTTCTAAGTTGTTTAGTAAATAGTGGCTGTTACTTGCTGTTTGCTAGGTAAAATTCCTACCTACCAATCCCTGTAAACAAAATTAGATTACAGAGATGGCTTCATAAGGAAACTAAATGGGATTTAACTTCTTGTAACCTTGGGCTATGCAAGATTGCCTGCAGGTACTTACTCAGGTGCCAGATAACCAGAAACTAAAACAAAGCCCCAGGAAATTTAGTTTGGGTAGTGGTCACAATGACCCTGAAAGCATTGTTTTGTGTGAATGAATTTGTTTACCAAACAAATGTGGTTTCATGTTTTAAAAGCCCCCTGCTTCCTGGGCTAGCTGCCTTTCGGTCCTCTCCTGCATGAGAGCTGATGGGGGCCCTGAGCTCAGTACTAGACGGCTTTCCAAATTCCAATCTGGCTGATCTGGTTCCTATTCTGAGTGACCCACAAAAACATGAGCACTGGGCATTCCAGGCCCAAAGTCATTCCAGGCCCAAGGAGGAAGCCACCCTCCTTGGTTGGATCAGCTAGCTAGAAGTGGAGGACCAGGCTACCATCCCAGGCTCCTGCTCTACTAATCCAGCTTTCAGTTGAGAAATGAGGGGATTGTGGAAAAGAGAGAGGGCAAGGGAGATGGCTCAGTAGAATAAGTGCTTCCCTGGCAAGCACAAGGGCCTGAGTTCAATCCCCGGTTCCACCAAAAAAAAAAGAAAGAAAGAAAGAAAGAGCCGGGGATATAGCTCAGTGGTGTAAGTGCCTGCCTGGAAAGTGCCAGGTCCTGAGTTCAGTCTCTGGTACCACCAAAAAAAAAAAAAAAAAAAAAAAGGAAGAAAGAAAGGGTAGAAGATGGAAGGTTCCAGAAGTAGGGCAGGAGCCCAGCTTACTCCCTTTCTAATGTTCCAGTCCAGGATGGAGTAAATCAGGAGGGACAGAAGAAGACATAGGAATGGGAAAAATAAAATTAAATAAATATTCTTTTTTTTTTTGCAACTGGAGATTGAACTCAGGCCCTTGCGCTTGCCAGGGAAGTGCTTATTCCACTGAGCCATCTCTTCAGCCCCATAAATAATTCCTTTTTTAAA